CTAGAAGCATTCTTTCTAACGAAAGCTTTGGTTCTGGCCATATAGTGCCTCTTCTAGTTCACGAGGTTAAATATAATATTAAGATTTTTTTTTTAAAATCGAGTCATATGATCGTCCCCATTGTTTTTCTGGGGTTCGAGAGTGCTGGATTCAGCAGTGATGTTGGATTCAGCAGTGATGTTGGATTCAGCAGTGGTGGTATTGGTCGATATATCGAAACTGGTTCGGAGGGAGTTAAGAGCTGTATCGATTGGGTTGGTGTATTCTTTGTCCAGTGTGGCGATCGTAGCGGACATGTTGTCTTCTTCACCTTCGGTGTCTTCTTGTTGTGGTTGGGCGTCTCTACGTTCTGCGGTGAATCGGTCAAGGAGGTCAGTCGGTGGGGGTCCGATGGAGTCGTCGTCACTGTGGTTGTGTTGTCTCGTAGGAGTCTCATTGGACTGTTCTACTGGGTTATTTGCTTCATTGTTGTGGGTCTCAGGGCTTGGTGCAAGATGCGGAGGTGGTCGTGAAAGTCGTCTTGCGGGGATCCTAGCCATGGGTGTGTCCTGATCTGGTGGGAGGATGTTGTCCATGTATTCAATGAAGGCCTGACTGTATAGGTATCTTAGGGTTCCTGTGGGGGAAGTAGTGGAGGGGATAAGGAAGTGATTAGGGTGGATGAGCTCCGTTAGGATCTCCCCTAGTGCTACTATTTTATCTGTATCCGAGAGGGCCGTAGTATGGATAGTATCGAGGTGGGTCGTATACGTGATCCTGGAGGGTGGGTATCTCGGTTTGAAAGGGAATAGTGCTGTGTTGTATATATCCGTATCTGAGTGGAGGGGAAAGATTAGTTCCAGTACTCTGAGCTCGCGTTGGATATTTCCATGATATGGGTTGAGCTCCAGGCGGTCTTTTCCTCCTTGGGTGTGGCGGTGGGATTTTGGTGTGTTGGTGAGGTATCGATCGATCGATGTGTGATGTTTACTCCGGCGTTGCTGCTGTTGGGGATTGCGCTTGCGTTGCTGTTGTCTGCCAGGCATGGTGATGTTGTTGTGGTTGAAGTAGGTGTTCTTGGTCCGTTTCGGAGTACTATTTAGGTGGTGTTATGATGATGGAATAGTATTGCGAATATTCTTCCAGTGAGGGTGTACGGGTGGTGTTGACACCGGTGTTCTGGATTTACTCTACCGTAGGAATCTACGTGATTTAGTAGAGTATTCCACCGGAATTTTTGAGGATTCTTCCGGGAAAACGCTCAATCCGCAAAGTGTTGCAGTTACATTCCACGATTGAGGATGGGAGCTGTAAATCAGGCTGCTCGATGGGTGTTTGTTGCTGATGATGGGTAGATGAGCTGAGGTATGTTGTTTGTTGCTCATAACCTGCGAAGTATACGATTGCTCTTTAGTGCCGTATAATTACGTGTTTACAATAAAGAGTGAGTGGAGGTGGTGAGTTACTCCCTATTCACTCGTGATTTAAGTGTTCTACGTGTATTAGGCTCACAGGCATACGACATTTGACAATCGAATCAACAAAACCCCCGAGCTTCCAACAACCGAATTTCCGTACAGTATAATACAACACAAGTTTCCTCCACAGCAAGCGGCATCTCCGGAAACTGCAATCAATCGTACTTGCACTCGATGCGCAGTAACTTCTTGCGATATACTTCATCGGCAATCGTAAAAACATGTCGTATAGAGAAGAAATACAAGAGGCTCTAGGCATTTTGGCTATCATAGGCCTCACAATTCTTACTTGTTTTTGCAAATATTGCCAGTCTTCTTGTGATGATTTCCTGATAGGGTTGGGGTTGGGGGTAACGACAGATCCATCGCCAGATCCATCCACGGTCATTCCTAACAATGACAATCGTCACAACAATCTTGGTGACATTGAAGCTGCAGAACTTAGTGGAGAGAACACAAAAATATTGCTGGAAAGCCTGACACTGACAGAAAAGAAAAACCTGTTCTCATCAGTACTAGAGTGCAAGAAAGCAACCAAAGAAGACATTGGGATTTGGAGGAAGAAAAACTACAATTCTGAGAGAAGCATGTACACCACAGTGGCTTATCTGGTTGAACGCGAAGAAAACTACCCGCCAGCACCATCCAGTCAACGCCAACCCAATGACAGTGACAGTCGCTTCACCAGCCTGCCTGCGCCACCCAGCCAACGCAAACACAAACACAGTGACAGTGACAGTCGTATCACCAGCCTGCCTGCGCCACCCAGCCAACGCAAACACAGTGGCAGTTTCATAACTGCCTTGAGAAAACTGTCTAGCAAAAATCAAGAGATAAGCAACACTTCCTCTGGTCTGTGCTGTCCCATCTGCATAGAAGAGATCCAGGTGGGGGAAGATGTCTACTATTCCAAATCATGCGAACAGCACCTGTTTCACCTGGATTGCATTGYTGRKTGGTTKRGTACGGGAGCAACTTGTTGCCCGTGCTGCAGGGGGGTGATGGTGACTCCGGGCTTGTTGCGGGACGCGCTGGCAGAATTGCGCCAAAAAGAATAGCTAGGCAGACTCTTGTTGAATGATTTTTAAGAAATGAAAATGGCATGCTACTTGCCTCTGCTGCCTACCATGAAAAAAAAAGAAAAACTCGTCCACTTCAAGTTCACTGTTAAATTAAATCGTGAATCCAAAAAAAACGATGGCAAGAAGAAGAAAATTGGAACTAGTGATAGTTATTTAGTCGCAACATTTCCAACTTGCGCGATCACTAATGTAATTGACGTTGTCAGTGACGAAAGTCTGGAAAGCTTGCTGCGCATCTTCTTCATCGTAATTCTTACAATACTCGTGGACGTCGTGGTTGTCGTGATCGTTGTTGCCTTCGTCGAAATCAGTGTTGTTTGCAGATTCGGAGAGATCTTGTGCTTCTAGTTGTAACTCTACTAGCGTTTTATATAGCTTCAATTGATTCTGTATCCTCGAACAAGATATCCTTGATTGTGGATCGGGGGTCCACGCTTGTGACAACAACACCGAGATTTCTCTCGGGATTGGAAGATTTTTGTTGTTCAAAGTTTCTCGCATCGACGACTCCCGCTTCGTACGAGGATCACTCCAACCAAAACGAAGCGAATCATACTCTTCTTTTGATTGATCCGGGTATGGACGAAACCCGCGCCGGCACACGAGTTCCCTGTATAGATCCGACGTCATGGCCTCGAAGGGAGTTCGATGCGTCCAAAGTTCCCAACAAACTACGGCATACGAATAAATGTCGCAGCTGTAGTCGTAGGTCATTTCGAGACATACCTCCGGCGCCATGTATCTCATGGTACCAACCATCTTGGTGAGAGTGTTGGAAGTTCTGGACGATGGCGTGAATTCGTGGCACAAGCCAAAGTCGAACAGTTGGAGCCTGGTATAAATTTCCTCTCCCTCGGGATGATTTGGACACGGGGTCGAAGAGAATCCAATGTTGGCTGGTTTGAGGTCTCGGTGTATAATGTGGTTGGCATGGATGTATTCGAGTGCCGATGCGAGTTCGAGACAAATCACAACCTTGTCCAGGTGACGTCGAAGGAGAGCCGAAACATTGTTGTTTCCTTTTCCGTAATGGTTACCGTGGAAGTTGCTTCCTGTCATATTCATAGCGTAGGTCGTGCTCGATTTGCCCCATCGATCGATGCGCTGGTCGAGTGTTTCGCAAAGGACATCCATCAGCAAAAAGAAACCCCGGTCGGTGCGTTCGAAACCCAGGACCCCCTTGTCGTCGAGCCCACGAATCTTGATAATATTGGGATGATCTAGGCAACTCAACACGTGCGCTTCGTAAGCGAGTTGGGACGCTGCATGGCGAAATTCATCTCCACCTGTCGAAATGAGCTCTTGCTTAAGTGCCTTGCACGCATAATATCTGTACTCATGGTTGGTTTGGGAGCCCTGACGAAAGGAGTCGTTGTTGCGTCTAGGATTGATCGTCACCGATGTTACCTGCGTAAACGAACCTGTGCCCAAAATGACACGGGTTTGGAGTGTGTCTTCGGTGGTGTTCAAGAATCGAATGCTTCGATCGTTGGGTTGACCTTCATGGACGGGTACGAGTCTCGTGCCCTCTGTCATCGACCGAACGTCTTGACGGATGCTCTTTACAATCGGTGAAGCCGCAAAATTTATGCGAGAAGAAGCAAATATGAAGGAAGATTGAGCCGTGCAACCTGTTGTTTGTTGGCTTGTGAGTTGAGGCCCTATCATCGGTCTCTGACAAAAGGTAGGCGATGGCGCATGCAGATTTGGAGCGTGAGGGAATGTGTGAACATCTTGTTGGTGCAGCCCATGGCAATGCTGATATTCGGCGGTGTCTGACCTTCTTTCCTCAGTCGATTGGTTTGGAAAAGGAAGACCCCTGGGAAAGCAATAATCTTGAGGGCTGTCATAGGGATCGTTTGGATCGGACCTTGTTTGTTTGTGAATCTCAAGTGAGACCTTCGAGGGATCGTTGATTCCGCATCTCATGCCACTGCCACTATTCGTCATAGATAGATCGATGGAAAGATCAGCTATGCTTGATTGCATTCTGAAAACGTTGCTTTCAATTCTCATCGAATTCATCGATTTTTCTTCCAAGAGTAATGATGAATCGGAGACCCTGTGATTCTTCTCTGCCATCGGTGGGTTCATCCTTCTTTTGAGAAGATGCGAGAGAAGATAGATATGTCTCGTTATGGTTTTTAACCGCTTCGCGGGAGATTCGACGAGTATTGTTCGAGATCGTAGTGATTCAAAGTCTATCAGTCGAGTCTGCTTGTTCTGAATCTCTTCAATGCATCAATGTCGTGTTCTTCCTTATCGATTAGGCAAATGTATTCCCTCCCTCTTCAATTGAGTGGTGTTGATGGATTGTTTCTGAAATGTACATGACAACGATAAATTTGTGTACTGTGATAGAAAAGTGAAATTTGCAGGTAAAAGCTGAGGAAATGCTTCCATCTCGTTAGAAAATGTTATGTCAGTAGCAAATTTAATCAGTACAGCAGCATAGCTGTGCAACCCATACATGCCTCGAGAAAAAATCATCACCAAAGTATCCTCACGTACTTTCGAAAACACAACGGTCGCTAAAGAAATTTTTTGATCGTTCCTCACCTCCCCAAACGGTAAACTCGTCGATATTAAAAGGTTGAGGTGAATCATTGCAATGACTTGAACAATTGCATGATGTGTTGAATGGATTCTTAGTCAAAACTATCATTTACTTCAGAATTTTTGTCATGCAATACTACAATTCAGGGCAGAGAAGAACTATTTCTATCAAATACCAATAAAGATGCTACAGAGTCAAAATATTCCAGTACCGGCGAATGCATAGTAAGAACACGTTTGAGATTCGAGCCCACGGCTTTTATCGCAAGTCGCGCTCAAGAATTAATGCACCCGATATTGATAATTCTTCTTTTTGAAGTTGTATCAGTAGATGGAATTTCATTAGTACCGGTAGTACTAGAGCAATCTTAGTTCGTTTGTTGGCGATTGTTTTTAAAATATCTTTTTGAATCAAAATACTTCCCGGTATTGAAGAAAAAGTGGCACTGGATGGACCAACCTCTGCGAGACAGTAAAGACGCCATCGAATGATGGGATTTTGCGGAGAACTGAAGAAAAGGCAGTTCTTGTGATTTCAAAATCTAGTAAAACTATTTTTTAAATGGGTAGTCAATGAAAAACTGGTTCTTGGTTTGCCATTAAATTGAAACAGAAGTATGATAAAATTATGTTGCTGTTGGCATCAGAGGAAAAGAATACACATTTGAATCAAACTCGCCGAAAAAGATACAATTTATCTATGGATTCTTGCAGTACAGTTGGGTGTGGTTCAAAATCTCTGTACTCTCTTATCTAACCAAACGGAAGGAAGAGAAAACAGCCGCGAGTCATGATAGGAGCACAATGTGCAGAATGCGGTTCGGAAGAGGCACAATTTTTCTCTTGATTGTTGTTCTGACTCTTCTGTTTCCGAGCCGCACAACGACTCCACGCCAACACATTGCGTCTATCGTTGTTTCTCACTTGAAAAGGTACTAACGGGCTATCCCCAATACTTTCATTCTTGCCATCATCGCTACTTGAATCAATTAATTTGCCCACCGGCGAGGACACTGCCCCAAGAGCACTGTCATCCTGGGTTCCCTCTCGGGTATCGGTATTAAAATCTCCACTCTTTTTTGAAGCTGATGACATGGGTGATTTATCGTCGCGACGCTCGGTATGTGATTCTAAATGGATGCTTTCTGCTCCATCTAGACCAGTCAAAGAACGGCCAGTAGGTGACACCGAAGAAGTATCCGAAAAGGAATCGTCAAGGCCAACAAGAGTCAACGATGGACTGGATCGACAATCTTCGTCTTTGTCTTCTGCGTCTGAAAAGGAATCGTCAAGGTCAACAAGAGTCAACGATGGTTTGGAGCGATAATCTTCGTCTTGGTCTTCGTCTTCTTCGTCTGAAAAGGAATCATCAAGGTCAACAAGAGTCGACGATGCCTTGAAGCGACAATCTTCGTCTTCATCTTCATCATCGTTTTCGTCATCACTATCGCTATCGCTATCGAAATCGTACTCGTCGTATTCTAAGTGGGAGTATTCACCCTCATCATATTCATAGTCTGAGATAATATCATCATCGTCATCATCCGTGTAATCGTAATCGTAATCGTCCTCGTCGTCGTCGTCGTTGTAGCCATTGTCTTCATCATATTGATCGCGGTTGCTGTAGTTATCGTCATCTTTACCGTCAGTCATAACGCCATCGTCATTTTTATTCCGAGCGATGCTTTCACATGCCTCCAGGAGTGATTGATAGTCGTCTTTTATTTTATGGCATGAATCGATTGCCTCAATTTTTCTGGCCAAGAGAGACCTTTTATGTCTTCCCTTTGTCCTGTTCTTTCGTTTTTTCGTTTGATTGAGCTTGAGTTTGTCAATCAATCTAACACCTTCCGCGTTCATGTTTTTGATACGACAGAGGAGCTTCTCCATCACTTCATCTTCGCTAAGATGCACGTTGCACTTATGGCTCTGTTTGGATCGATCCAACAAAGCGAGCGTTTCGTTGCATTTTTTCTGAATTGATTGTTGGTAAACCATTGCCTCTTCTTTCTTACTTCGTGTCCTTTCTGTTTCCCAATTTTTGGCGGGAGACAAATATCGACTTGAAAAGATACGTGAATGTGGAACTCTTTTTATTACTCTATGTTCAGTCGACGATACTACTATCTTTCGACACGTGCAATTTCGTAATATTTTGGTTCTTCACCTCGAACTTTCCTCACTGCACCGTGAACAACGAATAATTGCAGTTCAGGCTTCGATACGGAACAAATAGCAGATTTTTCTTCCGATCTTCGGAAGTTGAGTGTTTTCTTTCTCGCGATCTGTGGAAGTTATGCGTTGCGTAAGAATAAGATGGCATAATAGATGACCAAGAAATTGTGACTTGGCGATCGTGGGAGTTGAACGGATTTGGCGCGAGCATTTGGTTTTGGTCGTAAAATCGCGCGCGATCGAAACGGTTTGTTTGTATCCGTCCCTATGTAGCGTATGTTGTACTGTATGATGTACCGTATGATGCAGTATCATGTTACTGTAGGTAGGTTATTTATTGAACCTTATTACATTTTCTGGTCCTTATCTTTGACATCTTTTTTTTTTTGTTGGTAATACGGCATCGGTACGTACGAGTACAAGTACTCACAAAAATTCGATTTGACTATAATTCGTATCGCAAACATTGAACCTAAAGACTAGTGCTCAGAGTCTTGTCGACATGTTCAAAAATGATTCTGTTACGAGGAACAATACCCAATCTTCAGTGACAATGCAACGGATGATATGCATTCGTCCAGTCGACCCCAGTTGGTGTCCATCGGACAAGGTTGTACGAAGAAAGAAAGGAAGAAAGAAAACGAGAAGACGCACACGGTAGCCATGTACGGAAAACCAAAAAAGTTATGGAGCTCCGAAGGAAGACACCAGTATTGGATGGAATATAGTAACTTGTCGGTCTACCTTATCCAACGCATAGTTTGCGAAGTCGATCAAAATATATGGTGCCGAAGATATTAACACCGTTACGATTCGAAACAGTTGGTTAGGTATTTTGTTCAATTCAAAATATTCTAATGTATTATGGACAACGTGTTGTTTTTCTCTTGTAATAACTCTTAGTTATTCTATCGAGCGTCTTTTCTAGCCATCAGTCGCTGTCACTATCTGACTCACTGCTACTACTGCTGCTGCTACTGCCGCTGGGTGATGTGCTCTTCAATCTCGTTTTTGTTCTTGTTTCGCCAGTAGCTTTTGCCTTGTCCTCACACCGGCCCCTATCGGAATCACTGCTGTCGCTGTCACTGCTGTCGCTATCACTATCGCTAGATCGTTCGATCGCTGCTGCTTGCGCGGATTTCACGGTAGTCGTAACTTTTGTTTTGTCGCCGTCGCTGCTGTCCGAATCGCTGCTGCTGCTTTCGCTGTCGTCGTTTGTTGGGATCGCTGCCGCTGCTGTCTTGTTCGCGTCCGTCTCTGCCTCGTCGTCGCTGCTGCTGCTGCTCGAGGAAGCAACGGAGCCGTGGTCTTTGCCATCTTGTTTTTGCTTCTTGGAGTCGCCACCGGTGACTGGTGGATCGCTGCTAGCGGTCGCACATTCCCCGCTGCGCTTGCGCTTGCCGGTTTCGTTTCCGTGGCCGCCCCCAATCGTCTCGTGCGAAAAGGCGCAGGCGTCCCCCTTTCTGCAGGATCCGTGCTTCTGGAAAAAGGCGCAGACCCGCCGAGACCGTGGCGTGATGGACTCGTGGTCCTCCACCGGCCGGGCGAAGCGGCACTGGGTCGGGTCGCCCCTCGGCTTGGAGCAGAAAAAGAAGTAGTTCCCGATCGCCCGCGAGCGCTCGTAGTCGGGCTCCCGGTAGGAGTGCGATGCGTTTCCGTTGTCGTAGTAGTCGTCGGTGTTGTTGTTTTTGCTGCTGCTGCTGCCTGCATTGCTGTTGGCAAAGGACCGCTTGACCTTTTTCAACCGGGAACGGACGCGGCAGAAACACATGGGTGGCGTGAGCTTCTGTAGGGCCCTGGCCCTTTCGATGTCCTCCTTGGAGGGATCGATTCCGGGTCGGTAGACGTGGTTGGGGTTTTTCTTTTTCTTCGTCTTGTGCTTTGGTTTCTCGGGGCATTGCTGGATCCAGTGGCCCTTGGTGTGGCACAGCTTGCAGACGTATCCATCGGGGGGAACGCTGAGCTTTTTGGCTGGCTTGTTGCCGGAATTGCTGTTGCTGCTAGCGGGTTCGCAAACAAAGGCCGGCATGGTACTGTTCTATTTTGTTCTGTCGGTTCTGGCACTGTGTGTAGTGCAGCTAAATAGTGTCTTCGTCGCGTTGTTTGAAAGGCTTCGGTATCCGGCGAGTAGTGAGAAGCAGAAGATACGAATTGCGACGGATTCTGTTGACAGCTTCTCTTCCTCCGGCCTGGTTTGCTGCGCAGTGATGGATGTTTGCGCTAGTGGTGCTAGGCCACGAACGAATGTCACGAGTCGCTCCGATACTGTGATGCGTCGCCGCACAATACGCGGAAATTCTTTGTTGTTGTTTCACAAAGGAAGCTTTTTTGTTTATCCCTCGATCAACCTTTCTTTTTTGGCTCGGCAGATGGTACCGTAGTACCGGTAGGTTTGATGTATCAGTGGACTTCTCGTTCTACCCTTACCGGGTGCAGAGACACACAGCCGCATGGTCATCGTCGAGAGAGCGAAATTTCGATGAATGAATGGCAGGCGCTGAAGGGGCTCGGGTCGTACTTTATCGGTCTGTCCGCTCGTCCCGTACGTGCGACGTAGTACCAATGAAAAAGCACCTCTGTACCTACGCGTAGTACGAGTACTCGTTCTCCTGTTTGCTCTACATTACCGCACGTACCGTGCTTAGTACTTACGGTATCGTTACATCCTTTGCCCCTGTGCGCCCCGGTGCTGCTCGTGCCTCACCTGGAAGAGTGCGAGCCGTACGGGACCAGATTGAGTCGTGTCAGTCAAAGGTGCGAGTACTCGTAAACAAGCAAGCAAAGTTAAGAGCTCACAGCTAAAAACTGGCGCGTTTTATTGTACTCATAATCTGTTGCACATTCGGTCCACACATTTGCCTTCCTTCCTCGTACTCGTTCTCCTGCTTGCTCTACATTCCCCCTCGTACCCTTCTTAGTTCTTCCGGTATCGTTACATCCTTTGCCCCCCCCCCGGTGCTGCTCGTGTCTCACCTGGAAGAGTGCGAGCCGTACGGGACCAGATTGAGTCGTGTCAGTCAAAGGTGCGAGTACTTGTACTCGTATCTTGTTCTCAAGCCGAAGCGCATAAGTACTCCTATTCCATCGACTGATTCGAATACAGATTACCAGTCTGATCTAATCTTATTGTTATCTTACGTGTAATCTTATCTTACGTGTAATAGAACTTCGAATAGAACTTCGAACGGTACGGTATCGTACTTCTTACGAACCAGCCCTATTGCCAGGGCGGGGGCCATTACCCCTGCCCTTTGGATGGATGACTCAGTCATATCGTAATGCACATACGAGTAAGAGTACGTACTCGTATGCATAACGGAAAAGCAAACAAATTCGGAAGAACGGTTGTCCCTACCCTACGAAGACGAAAGCCGTCATCGCAACGACAAACACCGAGCACAAACGGAGACACACACAAACACAGCAACAACACGTAGTCCACAACACCAACACAATACCAAGCAGCACCATGTCTCTTCTTGCCGGTACCACAGGCTCCATTAGCGCTTCGTCTTCCCCCATGATCGCCGCACATGCCCACAGCAACCTGAACCGCAAATGGACGCTGAAGCGCCGCCCCACGGGCGTTTTCGACCCGGCCCTGGACGCCGAGTTTGTCGAACAGACCCAATCTCCCGAGCTGAAGGACACCGAAGTCCTCGTGGAACCCCAGGTCCTCTCGGTGGATGCCTTTCTGAGGACCATGATGGAAGAGGGAGCCTACCACGGAAACCTCCCGATCGGGGCCACCATTCCCGCCCTCGGGTACGGGACCGTGGTGGAGGCGGGCCCGAAGGCCTCCCACAAGGTCGGAACGAGGGTGGCTGGCATGCTCGCCGCCTCGGACCGCGTCGTCGTCGATTCCAGGGCCGTCGTGCGGTCGGTCAACTTCCCCTTTCTGCCACCCACCGCGGCGCTCGGGCTGCTGGGCCTCACCTGCGGGCTGACGGCCTACTGCGGAGTCTTCTACGTGGCCAGCCGGCCGCCCCGGAAGGGAGAGACCGTCGTGGTAACGGGGGCGGCCGGGGCGGTGGGGAGCATCGCCACGCAGCTGGCCAGGTCGACGGGGGCCAGGGTCGTCGGGGTGGCAGGTGGGCCCAGAAAGGGGGCCTACCTCAAGGACACCCTCGGCTGCGATGCCGTCATCGACTACAAGTCCCGGAAGGAATCCCTCCACGACCAGATCGCGAGGGCCTGCCCKGAAGGGATCGATTTCGTCTATGACAACGTGGGGGGGGAAATCCTGAACGCCCTGCTCTACCGGATCAACCCCCGCGGCCGCGTCGTCGTCTGCGGAGCCATCTCCCAGTACAGCGGAAAGCTCCACAACGGGACCAAGAACGAGGGCTGCTGTGGGGCCGACGGCCCCTCTAACTACCTCAAGCTGGCCGAGCGCGGCGCCGAGATGGTGGGCTTCAACGTGATGCAGCACATTCGCAAGCTGCCCTTTATGCTGGTGGGCATGTTCTGGCTGTGGGCCAGGGGCAAGGTCGTGATGCACGAACACATCGAGGAGGGATTGGAACACTTTCCGCATGCACTCCAGAAGCTCTTCACCGGAGAGAACATCGGAAAGACGCTGGTGAGAGTCGGGCCCGACGACAAGGCCGCGAGCCGGTGAGAACAGGCCTTCCGATGAGCCGAACCGCACCGTGGAGGAGGCAGTCAGCGGATTGGATCGAAAGGACACACGGCGGTCCGTGCTGGGTGGTGCGTGGTGCACGTACCACGCGAGAGCGATTCCGAGATGACAGCCAAGAGAGGAACCAGTTCAAAGTTGCCTTGACCGATCGAGCGGAGCGCTACGCAAAAGTGCTGTGTCAAAAGCCCAAAAACAACAGGACCGAACAAACAGACCCAAGACGAGAGCGGAAGGCTTGCCCGCAGGAGTTGCCTAGAAAAAGCAGCAAAGATATTGATTGTGCCTATAGAAAGAATCTAACGATGTGTAACAAGACGATTAAAATCTACCATTCTGGGATTGGGCACACTTTTGGTTCCGATTCCCTAGGTCCCGAGACATGCTTTGAGAGCAGAAACGAACAGCAGCCGGCACCACCTGCAAGAAATACATCCATCCATCCATCGAAGTCACCGTCACACACGCGTTGGTTGTTTCCGGCCCGGGAAATCGCCGGCGGCCGATTGGATTGGATGCATCCCAAAAGGGTCCCACCCGCCGCTGCTTCTCAATCCATGAAATCACGTCACAGCCGGTCGGGCACCTCGATCCGGCCCGGCGTGTTGCGACCTTCCAGAACGCTCGAGAACGGCAACCGCGATGCACGCAACGACCAAACCGTGTCCAGGACTTCGTAGAAAAAATCTCTCCACGAGTCCCTTCTAGAGATGCTCGTCTGCGCAAAAATTGCTCGCGGGCTGTTGTTCCCTACCATCTATTGCCATAGTTCTACATGAATTGGCAGTAGTGATTGTTATCCTTACCATTGGAGCGCCACTCCTTTTGCTTACACCTCTTGCATTGCATTGCTATCCCTGCTGTAGTTGCTGATGTTGCTGACACTACTCGCACTCGTACCAGAGATGTATCTATCGTTAGTGTGAGCCTAACACACCTACTGAAACACTTAAATCACGAGTGAGTAGGGAGTAACTCACCACCTCAACGCACTCGTTATTGTAAACACGTAGTAATAACACACTAAAGAACATACTTACATTTCGCATTGTAAACACGTAGTAATAACACACTAAAGAGCATACTTACATTTCGCAGTTAGAACTTGAACTTGCTTCCGGATTGGAATCCAGCATGATTTCTGGGTTTGTCCATCCACCTTTGCTTTACAGGCGAAGTTTCGGAGAGAAGTTTTTATATTGCCCATCTGCTACGTCATGACATGCTTATTGAATTACATTTGTCCGGCAATCAAGACTTAAGTAAGTTTTTGGTAACGATATTTTCTTACCGAGAATCTGAACATTTTTTGGTTCGCTTTCGAATCTCAAAAATCTCGGGGAGCCTAATTAATTTTGTCGAGGAAAACCATGTGACATATGCGTCCCACTCATTCAATAATTAATAAAAATATTTTCCTACAGAGCACAGACTTGCGAACCGTAGAACACGCGAGAAATCGTGAATTGTCGACAAGAATCGGAGCATACGCACAGCATAATTACCAACACGAGTCCGTATGAACTTGAAAACTTAAAATATTGTACGAGTACGGGAAGTGCGTTGCTCTGTACACAGACAAGAAAGCCGCGAAAGTGAACTCCACCAAGAAAAATTCCGCGGGGGCCAGAAAACTTGTCTGAGGACGAACGATCATAAATCAATTCAGGCAAAGTTTGCAACTCTCTCCGTGAACAAGAAGAAAACAATCAAAATCAACAATGCTCTATCGCAATATCCTCATCGCTCTCATCATCGCGACGGTGTCTGCTCTTGACTCAAGATGCCCTATCGATTTCACACCCGAGAAATACACCTGTAACGACGTTTTCGGTAGTAAATGGGGAGACTGCATTCCGGTGACTGGTGGACAACCTTGCAATGAAGGCATGTTTAGTGCTTGGGCTTGTCGGTAAGTTGTGTTGTTGTCAACGATTTGATTCTAGACGATGCTTTTGTTCCTATTCGGTTTGAGGCCTCATATAACGCGGCTTTCCCCCTATTTTTTTGCCTCTGCGATTTCTACAATTTCAATCGCTCTTGGTACAGATGTGGTGCAGGAAAAGATGCGCCATTCCTCTGCGATTGTTATGAAGGAGCTGGTGCGGTCATGTTGAAAGACAACGGAAACAGCACAGATGATGACATCGACGTTGGTGCTGATTCCGTGGACGGAGATGACGCAAGTGGTGCCTCTATGACTGCAACTGTGACCGTCATGGGAACCTTTGCCGTCGCTACTGCCACCATTCTTGGTTTGTAATCACGGTCAGGTCGCCCGCAATAAAGCAAGCAAAGTGTATCACGTAGTATGTTGAAACAAGAATAAACGAAACAAAATAAAAATCCCGTATTCGTATTGCATTTTTGACTTTCGAAGATTTCGTTCTTACGATTCACGCTGGAGAGATGAGACCCGTTAGCTAGTAGAAGTACCGTAGAATTCCTTATGTCAAGCGCAATAACGTTAAGTTCTTGGAAATTCCCGTACAATCACAAATAGAAATTTTTAGCTCATTTTAACAGTTAAAACAAGTTAAAATAGGTATTCCAACATTATTTTTTTGTTTAATTGTCTGCCAGCTTTTCAATGCTGGTGCGTGAATACATGCCCAACTTTGAGCAAACTAGTTGATTACATAATAATTGGCAAGCTCAGCACTGATCTTCATTCCACCAGTAATCAAACTGAGGGTGAGGTTGAAAGTGTTACTAGCTCTTGACCCCCTCATCCTCAGCTTCATTACTGAAGTAATCTAACTTCAGCCTTGGTCTCAAGTTTAGCTCTCTTCCTCTGCCTCAGTTAGATTACTTGTGTAATCCATATATATTCTGATCCATAGTCTGGAAAATGTTCCTTAAGGACAAAATTAGCTGTGTCGTCCTCTGTGGTGGCATTGGTGGCGTGCTCCTCCTCTGTATCAGTATCCTCTGTATCAGCATAGTACTATTCCATGTTAGCAGTGACTTGTCTTATTGTATCAGTGACTCCTCCCTATTGTATCAGTACCTCATGTCAGGATCCTCTGGTGTATCAGTGACTTGTATCAATGTCCTCTGTCCAGCAGTGTCCCCCCATCAGCACACTCGTCCTCCTCTGTATCAATATACTCTGTATTGCATATTCATTTGTATTGCTATCAGCACACTCTTCCATATCAGCATACTCCTCTGTATCAGCAAACTCCTTATCCCATACTACCCAGCGTTAACATACTCCTCGATTGGTTGATTGTTGCTTTTTTGGAACAACCAATGTTAAACTTGTCCTTTCGTACAAAGTCATCCAGTGGATCAAGGATTGCATTCCCATTACTGCTATCATGGCAACATAATTCATTGACTTGAAGAAATGGCAGTCCTTTCTTGAGTATCTCCAAACACTGCCCTTATGGTGACATACCCTACTTCTGTGATGAAGGTCATAATGTCCATAATGAATATGCTCTCCTCCTGCCGTCACTGGGGCTAGTCATAATAGTATTGATCCAAAAGTTTATTTTTTCTTTATCAAGTGTTGCGGGTGCTCTTTTTAGTCTTTACTTTGAACTACTACTAGTATATTTAGTAGGATTCAAAATTTTCAAAAAGAGCCAGCCTTCTTCTTCTTTGCCTCAGTCTACCCATTGCAATTTTGATCCCCTTCATTTTAAAAATGCTAAAGGTGCTACTACTAGTAAATCTTTGGTTTAGCAATTAGTATAATAACAGAAATATGTCCCTATTTTAGTGGTCCTGAATAAAAGTCATTGCTATTGGGCCTATTTAGGATTGTGTGCATTCAGTACCAGAAACTTATTTACCGCTATTACTCTTATTATAACTACTTGTTAGTACAAATGCTCACCATTACTACAACTAGTAGTAGCTGCTGTGGACTAAGCTTCTGTAGCAGCACTACTACTACTAGCAAGCATTTGCTACCCAGTCATGATGCAACTACTATGAGGATTGAAAATAACTGAAATTGGGAGGGTACTGTTCTGCATCAGACTCACATTCCCCATATGAGGAAGCTTGTAATTATTGTTCTTGTCTGCAAGTCAAATGGCAGGATTAACCATTTTCTTCTATTGGCTCCAGACCCTTACAATTATCCTTGGCAAGATATTGCAAGTTTCTGGTGCTTCTTTTAGAGGTCCCTTTGCAACAAGATAAATGGTTTCCATTATAGTTGCTTCTTTTATGTTTCAAAAGATCATAGACAATTACTAGTACTAGTCTCTTGTTGTTTGTCAAGTTCTTGCTGATCTTTCTTTTCTGATGATGTAGTAGAGGTGTTGCTGCTATTCAAAATTGCTACTAGTAGTAGTACTGCTCAATGCAGTGGTATCATTACTCATAGGAGTATTGCTTTTGGTGAGGAGAACAAGCCTGGCATTGGTAATCATCTTGCTTCTAGCAGCTTTGCTTTAAAGAGAAGGAATGGGGGGGAAAGTGAGAGCAAGTGATAAGCAAGATGAGCTGCAAGCAAGAACAAAGTGCAAAGATAGGATACATGGGTACTTTGACTGTTTGGTTGGTTGTTGTGGAGGCTGTGTTGGTGTCAATGGATCCCACATTAGTGGAAGCAACAGATGGAGACTCAAGGAAGCAAGACATTAGTGCTTTCCCCCCACTTACTAATGGAGGCAATGGAGATGCAAGGCTAGTTGTTGGCTCTTCCTCCCCTTCTCAAGAGTAGAGGTTACAGAGATGCAAGATAAGTTTCTTGTTCCCCCCTGCCTCCCCAGCCAATTGATCCTCCATCAGTTGGCACAGACTGCCACCAGTCAATAGATCCCCTATCAGTGAAAGCAATGGATGTATCAGGCAACACATTGTAGTAGCAGTAGCACTTTCCCCCTATCACTACTACTAGTATTGTAGTATTACTAGGTGATATAAGACCTCTGAGTCACTTGAGGTGCAAAGAAGAAGGCTTGAAGAGCAAAGAAGGGTTGGTCTTAGTCAGTTGAATAGAAAGCAAGAAGAGTGAAAAAGGAGTACATCAAAATCAAGAGTGAAATTATAACATGAAAGAAACATGGGGGGTATCTTCTTTGCACCATATGTGCATCACTTTTTCTTCTCTTTTTTTCTTGAAATTTTCCTGTTCTTGGTGGACCCAAATTATTCAACCCACATGAAAACTGCTTGCACAATTTTTTACTTCTTTTGGTGACCCACTATGACTGCACAGGAACTTTCTCCATAAGTGCAGCAAGAATATCATGATAAAGCTTGTAGTAGGGGTCTTGGCTTTCTACTATAGTAGCTGCAATCCGCATCCTTTAATGACTAGTGGAGGAAGAACAACCCCTCTTCTTTTGACCAGCACTACTACTAGTAGCTAGCTATTACATTTCAAAATCAGGCCTGTTTGAATAGCTCTAGCTTGTGCATCAGAGCCTGGCACCATAGGCAATAAACACAACTGTACACTAACAGAAAGGACTTGCTAAGTACAAAATGAAGCACTGAAATTGACTAAGTATTGAGCTTATCCCAGTAGTACAGGTACAAATTGGACACTCATTCTGGACCAGAAGAAGAACCTTTTAGTACTGTGTCAATGTTCTGTGTCAATGTTCTGACCTGTGTCAACATTCCCTGTCAATGTTCTGTGTCAACGTTCCCTGTCAATATGCTGGTCTAAATGCAGGGTAAATTTGTTATTCACTACTACAGTATAGTATGCTAGGGGTCAGTAATGCAACAGTATTAGGTGAAAAATCTTGCACTGCTGTTTGCTCTTTTTGTGCCTGTTGCTGCATGATCATCAAAGGGTCCTGCTCTCCTGTTCTACTAGTGTCACTATCACCACCAGTAGCAGAGGCTGCCACAGAGTCATTGATGTTGCTGGTAGCTACTAGCTTCAACTGCCCCAATAGTCTCTTCAGCAATCCCACTGGTGGTGGTCCTGTTGGTCTTGTTCATCTCTTCAATCATCAGATCTGTAATCTTTTCATTGATTTCTTTCCTTTGATGCTTGGCAGACCAAGGGCAATCATCTTTGTTAAAGTCACCATCATCCAAACCAATGCGGTCCAAACTTTTGAAACTTGGGTCAAGAAGAAAAGCTGCAATGATAAAGATAAGATGAATACCCTTCTTCCTATTTTGGCATTTTTGTTCCACATAGGAAAACTTCTGTTGCCCCACAGGTTTTCAAAATCTTTCAACAATTTTACTAAGCTCATACGTCTCACAAGCACATTGTCGTTTTTACATCCCTTTTTCGAGCACAACCCTGCACTGGCAAGTATAATATGGTGCTGTGACATATTTGTTCTCTTCAAATAATCTTCTGACAGCTCCTTATGGATTATCATTGTTTGTTGCACCGCTTCCATAAGTGATCAAGCAACTTACTTGTAGGCTGACCACGATCTCATTTCAACATCTTCTTGGGAGGCTGATGGATGCCACCTTTGTCTTATTGGGAACCTGCCTGTCTCTCTTTCTCTTTCAGAGTTTCCATTGCTTTTGTTGCCTTGGCTTTTTGAAGTACCTCATATTTTCCCTCTCCATTGCATTGTCAGAGATGCCTTTCCATGATATCATATTATTGACTGTTGCACTGTGGTGGTAGGGTGCTGTGCTGAGGAGGCTCCTCCCTTGGTACCCTTCTTGGGTGGGACAATGTTGTGTCTTCTATTCATGTGTCTGGCCAAACTACCACTACTCCAACTGTTCTTCCGTGCCTTTACCTGTAGTTTTGAACCACATAGATTGCAGATTCTCCTCCGCATCTTGCTCCATTGTTGTTAAACCCCAACCCCAACCCTCACCCTTCTTCATCACCTGACTGTATTTTTTAAGAATATCAGGATTTTTGACCAATGACCTGGATCTTTAAGTAATTGCATCAACTTGGTCTGGGTGCTTTGTCTGGTGGTCTAAAGTTGTTTTTTAATAAAGCTCTGCTGGCCTATTTTCTAACCAGCAGCTGCTGGTCTCAAAAACTGGCCAATTTTGGCCATACAAGTTGTTAATGGAGAACCAGGTCCCCCCTGGCCCCTAATTGTGTAACAATGACACACAGCACTCTTCTTAACACCACTACTATGACTGAGCATGATACTATCCACAAAGGGGATCTCATTTGAGCCAGTTCTGCTACTAGAGCACTTCTACTAGCTAATGGCCTCATAAAACACTGTTTTGATCAAGTTCACCAAAGCAACATGATTTGAATCAACAAAAAACTCAAAAATATTCGCTCCCTGTGGTACGTAGGATTCCTACTACAGTACTTATTGTACCTATACAAAAATCATATTTACATTTAGTAACATAGTACTGGCCTACACAGGCCTACATCTTAGGAGGTAGTACAAAACTGCTGAAAATTAACAAGAAATTTGGACCATTTTGCCCCCCTGCTGTCTCTTGTTACTACTAATACTAGTAATAGAAGTAGTAATCATCATACAGCAGTAGTAACTACACTGGATGAGATACAACAAGAACAATATTCAATATCCTTATTCAGCAGAGGGAGAGCTTTGTACTTGCGGCACCCTTCTTGTGTTCATAGGTGCTCTGGTTGTGAAGCAATCAATCACACCATGGTGAAGATGGTGTTTTTGCAATAGTATGAGAAAATCCAGTTGAAGTAAAAATACTTTTCTCCAGGTAGAACCCGGTAGGGTACGGTAGGATACAGTAGGCTTCTAACGGTTTGCACATTTTCTGTCGAAAGATACAAACTGGTACCTACTCGAAGATTACTGGAACGTAGCATCGTCCATCTCCCTCTTTTTACAGTGGGCACCACGACCTGCCCTTACCAGCAACAGCAACAGCAACAGCAACAGCAACAGCAACAGCAACAGCAACAGCAACAGCAACAGCAACAGCAACAGCAACAGCAACAGCAACAGTGACAACGGTGAACGATCTCAACACACGCCTCCTCTCGCAAATATTGTCTCTTGTTTGTTATCCATCCACTGTTCTCGCATCACATCTTGTCGAGCACATCTGTTTTGAGTTCACAACAGGGACGGACTGCTGTGTCGTGGAAGGCACCGGGCAGCTGCGCCGTTGTTGCAGTTGTTGCTGCTGCTGTTGTTCGCTTGTTGCCCCAGCGATGACGACCGGTTTGGTTCCGAGACACTATTGCGCAGCATTCGTGGGCTGATTGTTGTTTGCTGTTTGCTTGCTTGCTGTTTGCTTGCTTGCCCCGGCGACGATGGCAGGTTTGGATCCAAGCGACTGCTGCCAAGCCCCCACGGAACGTGTTCAAGCACAATGCGGCTGAACGATCGGGGCAAACACGCCACGCACACTGTATTGCACCGCTGGTTCCGTTTCCTTCCGTTCCGTTCGCTGGTTGGTGTGCAAATAGGTAGCTAAGGAGAGACGTTGGTCATTAAAAATTGCTCTACTAAAAAGGTCGTAATTATTTCGATTTGATTCCATTCGATTCGATTCAATTCAATTCGATCAAATAATCCATATAATATTCTCTATGGTATAAGAGTTGTAGTTACTCAACTGCTGATGCTATTCAGCCCCGTCTAGAGCCATACGCAAACGATTAGATAAGAAGTCGTCTCTCTAAACTCGACGTATGTCTCCAAAGAGGTTTCGTTCTCGTTCGTCCTCTGCTAGGAAGTCCTTGGCGTCTTGTTGCAAAAGCCCGTCTCTCTCGCTGCCCTTGTGGTTGGCACCGCGCTTGTGCCCAGGCGCACTGCTCTCGTCTTTTCCACCGGTTTCGGGTTTGTCGCTTGCGCCGGTGGAGACGCTGGTTGTATCCGTGTCGTCGGCGGCAGGGCTCTTCGGAACGGGGGATTCGTCTTGTGAATTATTCTTTTGGTCTCGATCGTTCACTTTGCTTCCTTCTTCGTCTACGGTGGATTCTTGCTCTTTTGCTTTGGCCTTTTTGTTGGCTTTTCCTCCCTTGCTTCCCTTGCCTCCCTTGCCTCTGTCGTCCTTTCCTTTGTCCTTTTTGTTGCTCTTGGCATCTCCCTTTCCATTATCGTCTTTTCCGTTGATGTTGTCTTTGCCTTTCGATCCTTTGGTACCTTTCGATCCTTTTCCCTTCGTTCCTTTGGTACCTTTCGATCCTTTGGTACCTTTCGATCCTTTTCCCTTCGTTCCTTTCCCCTTCGTTCCTTTCCCCTTCGTTCCTTTTCCCTTCGTTCCTTTTCCTTTTCCCTTCGTTCCTTTTCCTTTTCCCTTCGTTCCTTTTCCTTTTCCTTTGGTGCCCTTTCCTTTTCCTTTTCCTTTGGTGTCGTCTTTTCCTTTTCCTTTGGTGATGCTACCTTTTCCCTTTCCTTTCCCCTTTCCTTTTCCTGGGGTTGGTTGTTCACTAGGAGGAGTAGGAGTTGGGCGTTCACTAGGAGGAGTAGGAGTTGGTGGATCGGTAGGGCGATCAGGAGTTGGTTCTTCAGTTGTTTTTGTGGGCACAGTGGGTCTAAGTGATGGTGGTTGACTGGTAGTCGGTGTTGGTTCTTCACTAGGAGGAGTAGGAGTTGGGCGTTCACTAGGAGGAGTAGGAGTTGGTACTACTGATGGGGGGTTAGAGGGGGGTGACGTTCCTGGGGTTGGTTCCTTAGTTGATGGAGCTGTAGAAATAGCATTTGATGGTGTTAGAGACGGAGACTCTGGGGTTGGGGTTGGGGGTTGTGAAATGACCCTTGTAGTGCACTGACGTTTATAGGCCTCCTGTTACCAGACAATCGAACGCAATGAGTGTGAGAGGAAAACGGAGCAAAAACATATGTTGCACGCTTTGTTTCGCAAGCGTGCCAACCCACATTTTCTTTCACTGGCCAGCGTTCGACGACGATTGGGATTTTATTTTGTTACGAATACTTACACAAATTAAGGCCTCTGCTTCAAGTCGGTTTGGGTCACTTCCTTGCAAGGCGCGATTGGCTACAATGATTTCGAAGTCATTGTAGTTCGAATCACCACTTCTACTTGTTCCTTTGCTTTGACCTTTGCTTTCACCCTTGCTTTTGCTTCCGTCTTTGCTTCTGCCTTTGCTTCCACCTTTGCTTCCGTCTTTGCTTCGGTCTTTGCTTCGGTCTTTGCTTCCGTCTTTGCTTCCGTCTTTGCTTCCGTCTTTGCTTCCGTCTTTGCTTCCTTTCCTTCCTTCTTTGCTTTTGCTTTCGTCTTTGCTTATGCCTTTGCCTTCGTCTTTGCCTTTGCCCTTGCTTCCTTTGCCTTTGCTTTCGTCTTTGCCTTTGCCCTTGCTTCCTTTGCCTTTGCTTTCGTCTTTGCCTTTGCGTTCGTCTTTACTTTTGCCTTTGCCTTTGGTTGTGGTTGTGTCTTTTCCTTTACTTCCCTTGCCCTTGCCCTTGCTCTTGCCCTTGCTGCCCTTGCCCTTCCCTTTTCCCTTGCCGCCCTCGGGTGATGGTGGTGACGATGTGCTCGGTGGGGAGCTTGGTGGGGTTGGGGTTGGTTGGGAGCTTGGGGGGGTTGGGGTTGGTTGGGAGCTTGGTGGGGATCCTGTATCCTTGGGAGAACAAATGGTTCCATTAACACCTGGTCCAGGTGTTTCGGTAAGGTCGACTCTATTGTCTAGTGCTTGGTTGAAAGCTTCTCTGAGCAGTTTCAGTGTCTGAACGAATGGATATGATTGAGGTTTCGAATAGGGAATATAGGAGAGAGGAATAGAATCAGATGGAAAATAAGAAATCATTAGAAGTCCGATAGAAGATGCGCCGTCGGAAGCAAAGACAACAACATCGATAACGCACCTCTTCATCAATCTCGAGTTCCTCAACCGCGTAAATTGATCTCTTGTGATTCTTTCCACTGCCCTGACGTGGAATGATAATTGTATCGATGATGAGCTGGATCAACTCCTCCTTGTTTTCTTCCGTATCAAAAAGAGCATTGAAAATTTGTCGATAATTCTCTGCTGTTACTATTCGAGGCAGAGCTAGATCATCTGCGAAGAATGTTTCTCTTTCTTCCTTTGTAAAGGGACCCTTGTACAATCCTGAGCACTGGATCGGGCTCGAAATTGTCACAAAATCGTCCGATGGATCGTCGATTTGAAGTTCACGGAATACCGAGTCGCTTTCAAACTTATCAACGTGGAAATCGTTGTTGTAGTCTTTGTCGTTCCAACCGGCTACAACGAGTTGTTTTTCATTGGCATTGGCATCGATCTTCGTTGTCTTGAGGCTCACAGGAGCTATTTGCGGGGGGTCAAACTTCTCCACAACAACAAGCTGCGAATGTGAAGAATGTGGGAAATTATGTATTCAATTGGGATGGTCAGTACGTATCCATGCAAAACCAATGATAAACCCAAAAGATTTTTCGTTGTTGGCGTTTGATCTCGACACAACGTACCTCATTCGTAGTCACTTTGACGTGCTCACTCCCGTGCTCATCGACATCGACCTTGATGAAGTTGGCGATGTATGCTTTCCAAGCACCACTTTCAGAAGATAAAGCAAGTGCAAATCCAATCAATGCCAGTGTGCAAGAAACCTTGGCGCAAAAGGAAAGCACCGAGGATCGTCCTCGTTCTTTGGTATCGCTTTTTGCTATGGAGTCCCGTAGCTTTAGTACCATGGTTGCTTCCAAGCAATCTCGAGTTGCTGACTGTCTCGTTCGTTGGCTGACTGCCCGAAAGTTGTTGTTGCACTACGAGTTGTTTATTTGTATCGCCGGCTTCGAATTGCTCGAGTAACTAATACATTTCTGTGAGGTCTCGGCAAATCGATCCGAAATGAGGCAAGGTTATCCGATAAGGTGCACACATCATCAGAGTTCGAGACAACTTCATTTCACATAAAAGTGAACGTATTGTTATCGTCGAAATCGACATAAATGTGTCTCACACATTTGACAACTGGAGTCATCCTATATCGTTTGAAAATGGCGTTGTCTATCCGAGGCTAAGAAAATTTTATCACGAAGTACTTTCATCGCCGAATGCGCAAAGATTTGTATCCATTTGTATCCATCACATTCGACAACGCAACAAAAAGACCTGTCCTTTATCATTAAAAAATGGCATGGATATTTCCGTGCTAGGAATGGTTCATGACAAAGCAAAATTATCGTCGACCACACAAGGGTTTGTATCCTCAAAAAGAAGTTATCGTATGTCATTCATCAGTAACATGACACAATAAAATGACATAATAGACGAAAGGCATAAAATAATATTGAACAAAAATATGAATATCGGAAGAAGAGCACGGCTATTGGGAGTAATAAAGCTCGATAATATTTTCCTTTGCAGGCTGAGAATGGTTCGAATACGTACGGTATCAGTCTGGGATTGTTTAACGCAATAGGGTTTTTCGACAAGAGTTTTATCTCTTTGAGAAATATCAATTTTCTTTCCACCAGAAGCTCATACTAAGTACGGTAACAGAATAATCACTATCAGAAAATTGATATTTTGGGCAACAGTGCTCGACAATATTTTCATTTTTCATTTCCATTGTGTTCCAATATTTTACCTGACGAAATATCAAGACATCCGTTGAATACTGCGATCTTAAGAACTGTTAGTTTTTACTAGCTTATTTATTTGAATTTTTCAATTGGGGCAGGCAATAGCAATGTTAATTTTGATGGATTTTGACAGCATATTTGAAAACTGTGCTGTAGTTACTGTTGAATCCACACGATTACAGTACTCGTATCTATCGTGGGAAGTCTTAAAACGTTAAAACGCTGTTAACTAGATAAAACTAAAAAGAATGAGACTGTCATGCCCCAGTTATGCTAAAAATCTCCTGTGGTCCCGGGCCACCAACATTACTGGTTCTCATCGCTCATTCATACACAATACATATATGAATATTCATCTTATCGCCACCAGTCCTAAGTGATTTGCGCTTATGGCGCCACCCCAGCCACCACTGCCTTGTGTCCGTAGAAACAATATGGTTCGCTGATTATCTGTTGCGACTCATGAATATGCCCTCGCTCCTGGTTCTGTCCGTTGCCTCAACACACTCCTGTGAGCTCATCCGGCTGCAGCATGGGAGTGTCCTTTAGTCGACTTGAGCTGAGCTCTGGTGAGCTCATCCTCCAAGGCTTTTCTTGCCCGCTTATCCTTCCGGTCCTTGAGTTCTGCCTTTGCTAATCGGTTGTGCTGTGGGATATCCAGCTCGGCAATTCCAAGTATCTTGTTCCGCAACTCCCGGAACTGACTTCCTTGCAGTGGCTTTGTGAAGTAATCAGCAATCATCGCTGCGGTTGGACAGTACTCCACACTGCTTTCGCCGGCTTCGATCCGGTCTGTAATGAAGAAGTACCGTATATCCATGTGTCGTGTTCTTTTTCCACTTGATCGTTTGCCATTCTCCTCAAGCTTGATCGCACTTTGATTGTCCTGGTAGATGATGTTGTCCTTCACTGGGAACCCCTGTGCGAGGAGAAAATATCTTGTCCATACTATCTGTGTCATCGCATCGTCCACGCCCACTAGTTCAGCCTCTGTGGAGCTTCTAGTGTTGATTTTCTGCTTGGATGATGCTGACAGTGCTGCTCCTTGTCCCATTGTCATGGTTGCACCCGTGTGGCTCCGCATGTCCTTGTGCACTGCGAATGCTGCATCCACGTGCCATCTGAGGGCTCCCGAGTTATCTATCCCTAGGACCAGCGGTAGCCCTATCGATCCCCTCAGATAACACATCACTCTGTCCAACTTCTTCCAGTCATCCTCGTCTGGTTCCTTCACGCGTGTGCACAGGAATGCCACGGGAAGTTGTATGTCTGGTCGAGCTCTCTTGGCGAGAAATAACAGTTTAGCAGTATTAGTGTGAAAGGCTGCCTTCCGGTCCTCATCCAACAGTATCKGGTCTGTGTTGTTGATTTGAAATAGGTGGTCCGCTGCTGGTGTAACAGCTGTCTTATCAGAGGTGAGCCCGTCCGGTAGCTCATCGAGCATGTTGTCGATGTAATCATGCATGGTAAATCGTACTMGTCCTGGTTCATTGAAGTCAATGGTCATTCCCAAATAGTCGTGTACCTTTCCCCTTGTGGTGACGAGCGGTGTAATTCTTCCATATTTATTGTTGATTTGCTCCAGCACACTGGTTACTACCCCTGGGTCTACATGGGATATCTTGATATCGTCCACATGCCAGAGGATGGTGCACTGGTTACCTCCCACTGTCTTATTCATCACGCACCAGTCGTATGGATTTGTCTGGAATCCCCATTGCTTGAGATCTCCACTGAGCTTTGTCCAGAACATTAGTGCTGCATTGAGAGTCCCATATATTGCCTTCAGGCACTCCAGATATAAGTATCTCTTTCCACGTCGATCGACCCTGATATGCTCGCTGTACAGTCTTGGATCAACCTCCACGAGTAGGTCTAACATAACCCCATCGAGTTTGAGGTGAGTCTCCCCGCTGGTGTCCTCGGTTTGAAGGAAGGCTCCTGGAATGTCGGTGGTTGCCACATCCCTTCCTTCGCATGCATCAATCATGCATGAGAGGATTAGGGCTTGAACTGATACTGTGGGCGATGTAGTGTTCTCTTTGAGCATCCAGTCACGTTGCTTTCTGCCGTCTGCACATCCCCTTCCTTTGATGTCCCCKGTCCTTTTCTCCTTAAGGAACATGAGGTAAGCTAAGGCTCGCTTCCTTTGCTCAGCACTCAGATCTCGCGAGCTGACTGGCTTTGCTACCTCCCGCTCATGGAACTGCTTTAGTTCCTTCTTGATCGCCTCGATCCCTCGTTGACCAAACAGCTTGATCCCTGCCTTGAGGCTATACTGTGACAGTAGTATTTCGTGTATATGCTCCATGAACTGGTCGTCGTCCCTGCTAAATTCTAGCATCGCGTGGAGCATGAGGGCCCATTCATCTGGGGGCATCCCTTCAGGCTCCCCTGTCATGTTGTTGAGATACCCTACAGTCTTGAGGTGGTCGTATGATCGCTCTCGGTTCCCACGGAGGCTGTACGACTGCGTTTCCAACTCGCTTTCGCTCTCGTCATCACTGTCGGAGTCACCCTGATTGTTGTCCTCATCGGTGAACACTATTTCCTCTTCTGGGTGCTCCCAACCAACTGGTGTTGTGTGATTCCCCGGCTCCTGCGAAGCTGGCTCGTTGCGGTCTGGGTTTTCATCTGTACCACTCGGTACATTTTCTACGGGCTGATCCAGTACATCCACGCCGTCCTCACTGTCCCTCGCTGGGAGATCTACCACTCCGGTAGCATGGTCGTTGGTCTCCGTGTCCTGTGGCGACTCACCCACCGAGCCAATGTCGGTCTCTCCGTCCGCCTCTGCGGTCTGCTCAGGTGTTGTTGCGTTGTCTCCTGCATTTGCGGCTGGTATCTCTTCTCCGATCATTTCACCGTTGCGGTCCCTGAACTCAACCCCCTCGGGGCTGCCTTTTGCCATCTTGTGGACCTGTTCTATTGCTTCCTCTGGCATTGGTAGGCGGGTCCACCGGCTCCGGTGTATCACCCGTCCTGATTGCAGACTGTAGAAGTAGTGTCCCCCTTGCGAGTTTCCTGTTGGCCTCATGGCTAGTGCTCCTATTGTTCGGGGATGGCCTGTGTCATTATTGGTTGGCTCGTGTGTTTGAACATACTCCCCAAACTGGAGCTGTGCATGCTTCGTAATGTCAATCGTGAGCCCCACTATGATCTCCCTCGGACTCATGGAGCCGGATACTCCAGTACGCTTGGGGAGTGCGTTCCACCAGAACACCTGGCAGTAAACTAGTTCTGTTGTAACCCTTGCAGGTAACTTCTTATATGGTAGGGTGCACTGTATTCCCCGGACCCGTTCCTTCACAGTTCGTATATATCTCTCAATCTCCGGAACGTGCTCATCCCTGGACACAAAATTCGTTGTCACGCCTGTTGCCGCTATTTGAACCCCAATTGGGACAAACTGATTATCCATGTTCACACTTGTGATGGTGAAACCGCGCTTGGAGTATACGCTAGAGATGTTCTCCATGCACTTGACTATTGTGGCTGCCTTTGAGTTAGCAATCATTTCCACGGTACCGAACTGGATGTGCCTGGAGATAGTGATGAAGAATCGTATCCCATTCACATACATTATGTCAGCGCCTAGCTCCACCGTTGAATATTGCTCCAATACTCCCTCCGGCAATGGCGTGATGTGCACACGTACATGATCCTCTTTCTGCCTGACTGTTTTGCCTTTCAGACCCACAAGACTGGGACCAAAGATTTGTTGTGCCGCATTTAAGTCCGCTCGAGTTACAGTAGCATTCTTCAGGTGGTTGTTATCCAACAGCCACAGTAGCTCCTTGGTTGGCACGTTGAGGATGTCCTGTAGCCTCCTCGCTTTCTCCGCACGCCTCGTGTCAAGTTGTGAGAACTGTTTCTTGTTATCGYTTACTGTCARTATCCCATTGTTGTTTAGGACCACAGATGTCTCACGCATGCTGCTGTAGTACAGTCCACGGCGTGATTCCTTGAACTCACGACAGCGTGTTTGGTCCACGCTGTACAGCCGGAAGATGTTATCGGCTGCACTGTCGAATGTCACCCGGTTGGTTCTCCTGACCTTGGATAGAGACAGGATGTTGGCTATGCCGTTCTTGTGATACCATACTTGGCCCACTCCTGGGAACTCACCCACCCAGTTTGTTCTGGCCACGCCCGCGTTGCAGAATATGTTCATGTGTTTGTGAACCTGTCTGATGTTGCTCAACAGGCTTGGGTTGCACATGACGTGTACGGTTGATTGGTTGTCCAGTAGGACCCAATCCTTGTTTATCTGTCCCTTGGCTTGACTGAGTATCACGTCATAGTTGATAGAGGGTGTATCCCCCATCGTCAGCCCACTCCTGCAATCTGCACCGATTGTGCAGAACATCAGTTTGTATGGGTTGTCATCATAGTTGCTGTCCCCATCTGACTCAGTGTCGTCGAAGTTGAGTTGAGCCATACTGGTCTGTTCATCCGGTGTCCCAGTGGTTTTGTTACTGTTTGCGGTGTTGTTCATTCGTCGGTTCTCCTTGGCCTGCTTGTACTCCTCTACATCCACTGGGTTGCACACGTCTTCATATGCGTAGTGTCCGGTCTTTCCACACCGGTAGCAGGTCACATTGCTCTTGTCCCTTGTACGTCGTGTGCTCCCGTCTTGTGAGAATGCAACCCCATCGTTAGTGTTGATCATTTTGCCGCGGCCGTGTGATCCCCCTTTCTGTGCATGTTTGTAGTTGATTAATAGCTTATGGGCCTCGGTTAGATCCCTTGGGTACTTGTTGTACCCCATCAGATAGTCATTCTCCAGGTTGATCTTGATCTCTGAGTATCTTCCGTGGTTGGCATTCTCTATGTAGATAGTTGCAAGCATGAGGTCCTGTGTCTTCTTGTTAACAGTCTCACGCTCGTCGTCTGATATTTTGGTTGGTGTTTTATCAGGGAACTCCGTCTGTAGGATGTACTCTTCGATTCCTGGGAGGTGCATGTTGCCTCCACATGCGGTCATTGATGTCGCCATGTTTTCAAATAGCTTGTACCATTCTATGTCTGTCATAGAATCACCTTGTCTTGTTCTGGCCAGTTGCAGTAGTGATCGCACTGCCGCAAGTGGGGGAAATTGCTGCGACTCATACTTGTAACAGATTTTCTTGATGATCATTAGTAGGCCCAGCGTGTCGGTGTCCTCCTTTACCGTTTGGTACGTTTCGTCGGCTGTTATCTTCTGCATCATCTCGTCGGAACATTGTCCGTGGATCACACTGTACATCTTCTTGAGATTGTCCTCATATCGCAACACCTTTATTGCGTATTGTTTGATCATTTCTTTAGCCAGAGCAAC